CGGAGTAAGCAAACATTTTAAAAGTTCAACGAAAAATGTATTACAGTTAGACTTATAAATCTAGAAAGTGTTAAGTAAACTTTCTCTTTGAAAAAATATCGTCTACGTAACATACCTAGTGGGACACTCTCCTGACACTCCAAAACACAAGATATGACTTAGACAAACCAGACCTAACTTATACCCTACTTGACTTAAATTAGACCTGACTGCCACCAGACTTCACTTATAACAGACTTGATTTATACCAGACTTGACTTATACCATACTTGACTTATACCATACTTGACTTAAACCAGACTTGACTTAAATTAGACATGACTTAAACCAGACTTGACTTAAATTGGACTTGACTTAAACCAGACTTAACTTAAATTAGACTTGACTTAAACCAGACTTGACTTAAATTAGACTTGACTTAAATTAGACTTGACTTAAACCAGACTTGACTTATACCAGACTTGACTTATACCAGACTTGACTTATACCCTACTTGACTTATACCCTACTTGACTTAAATTAGACCTGACTTATACCAGACTTAGGGGTCGGCGTGGTCGAGTCGGTAAAGCTCATGGTTGCTAAACCGAAAAGTCTCGAGTTCGAACCCCCGGGCAGATGAGGCTCGTTAGCTGGGGATAGCCACACTTCTAGGAGAGACAACTCCAAAATTAAACAACTGCTGCCTTGTAGTTTGTTCTTGGTTGGACAAAAGCTATGGAAGCAAATCCAATAAGAAAAGCAGGCTGAAATCGGAGTCAATGGCCTCAATGGCGCATAACCAGTTGACACGTAACACTCAATTGTGTTGGAGGCGTGGTCGAATCGGCAAAAAGCTCATGGTTGATAGATTCGAACAAAGTCTCGAGTTCAAACCCACTGGCAGATAAATCTCGATCCCCTTCAACACTAATAATTAAGAACGAAGAAGAAGAATACCAGACTTGACTTAAACCACACCTGACTTAGACCTGACTTAGACGACCGTTCATCGACCCATTCTTTGATAATGACAAAGAAAACAAAGCTAATGATAGACGACGTGCAGCAAGCCAATGAGGAAGAAAATATTTCACACGCAAAAATCTTCTCAGCTTAAAAATTTGATTCGTGCTTGACAATAATTATGATGTCCCTATAATTGAATGGATATTTCCGATTTTTTGTTTTATTTTTAGAAAAAGAAAAAATTCCCCATATTTGAATAGGAAAAATTGTTTGATTGCTGTTTTTTTTTTTTAAATTTAATATTACCAAATTTAATGAAGTTTTCGCAGACAAAAATAGAGATCTAGAAAGGCTAAATATACTGATAGACCTACTAATAAACATACTATGTGTATAGTAAATTTTAAAAAACAACCCTACAGTAAAATAACAACGACTAACTTATTAAACAAGATAATCTTCTTCTTCCTCGTTCTCAATTGTAATGTTGGACGTGGTTTCTACCAGCAATGTTACGTATTTCGTATCAATAAAGTATGCCCTGTATTTCGTTCATTGCGATTTCAGCCTGCTTTTCTTTTTGCATTTGCTTCCATAGCCTTTCTCCAACAAAGAACAAACTACAAGGCAGCAGTTGTTTGATTTTGGGGTTGTCTCTCCTAGAAGAGTTGCTGTCCCCAGCAACCGAGCCTCATTTTGAAAGGAAAAAATTGGTTGAAATTTAAGAAATATCTTTTGATTTTTAAAAACCAAAATTTCGTATTAAATCTATATAAAAAGAATTTAAAAAACAAACAGTTATCAACAAGTTGTTAAAGCTACCCACAGCCAATCGCATTGATTTAGCACTATATAGAATAGTCAAGCACCCACTATTGAGTTTATCCAGCTCTAATGGGTACCCGGCTCAAAAATAAGGTCGGCTATTCTTGTAACGGGTCATACAATATATTAAATACCCAAGTTCAAAGGTACACTCTACTCCACCTGCACGTCAAATCTTTATGGTGCACTTCTCATTTTTTTACCTTCGATTTCTTGTTGATTTCAAATTTAATTACCTAATTAGAATTAATTGGCAGGTAAAACACGTGTTTTTTTGTAGCGCCACGACAGCACAATAACGCATTCCCCCCCCCCCCCCCTCCAGGATGGTAATGCTGGTTTAAATATCACTGACAGGTCAGGACATCAACTCGTCAGGCTATATTATTTTGGTAAACATTTTAAATTAGTTATACTCAGTAAGTTGTTACTATTTGGTTTTGATGGAAGGCAGGTATTTTTCGAATAAAATGTTTTTCCCTATATTTATTAAGTGTGGAACACATTTTTTAGATACAAACTTTTTGCCAACGATCAGATGGTCTTGTACGTCCGTGCTGTTAAAACCAGTCGACAACCCGAGTGTTTCTTTCTCTGGCGAAGTGCTGAGACACAAAGGGAACTAACCAATGGGTAACTCTGAGCCGAGGATATCTCGGTGATAAAGAACGCCGGAGTAATTGCCCCTTAATAGCAGTCTTCTGCGTTTGGGGATGGAGTTATCGACAGGGGGAGGTTCGAATTTGTTTCCGGTTCGGTATGCGCGCGCATAAGGCCTCCAGGCATGCGCGTAACTCTACAATTTGACTTTGTGGGGGATTACCTGCCCTTGGTATGTCTATTCTCGTTCATTCATCCCCCCCCCCCTTTTTTTTCAACCACACACAATAATACCTAAACACAAGAATGCTAGTAATTTTACCAATTATTTTACCAAGATGTAGGAAGCAATTTATTTTCATAAAAGTACTTCAGTTTTTAAATTTGAAGCAATATTCCTTCTTGAAACACCCACCCACCCATACTCACACACATAAGCAACCACTCCTCCCCCACCCCAGGTTCTAAATAAATGAGGGAAAAAAACAGCGTGATCATCAATGAACTTTCGTCTCCTTGTTCGTCCTGATAAAAAGACGCGAATAAAACTCATCGATCTGTCTTGGCCAGTTTGATGGCCCACAAATTACTAATCGAACCACCAGAAACCAGAAGTGATTGGGTTTTTTTTTCTTAGTGCGGCCATCTTGGCCAGACCTGCCGTCAGGGCCATCGTAAAATGGCCGTAAAACAAGAACAAGGTTAATCACACAGATTCTAGAGTTTCATGTATACAAGAAGTGGGATATACAGATATATATGAATTAGATTAGTTTGATACAATGAACGTTACGTATATTTACGAATATATCATTTCACAAAAACGCATATTTATTTTCTATATATCGAATGATTTGTGGTTTGACTTTTAAATTTTCTTAAATAACTAACCATCGGTACCCGTTTCACGTGAATTATAAGCCTATATATTTTAAAATGTACTTGTTTGTGAAAAATAATATATGAAATAGTTATTGGTCAAAACGCAATGTGCTTTACTACACGCTGAACGATATTAGTGACAAAGCAAAGAAATAACCAATTAGCTAAAAAAACATAGCATAGGCACACACTGATTAATAAGTGACTTAAATGATTCCGTTAAAAAATCTGGCTATTCAATGGTCATTATGTTTTTTTAAGTAATTTGCATTAGTTTGACTGATAAAATTGTATATATTTCATAGCGTACGTCTTGATGAGTAGATCTATAGATCTAGATCTAAATCAAATTTGAATGAAGTAGTTCCTTTCTTTATAGTCTAAAATCGGAAGATTCACGTATAAAAAAAACAACAAAAAAACATTTGTTTGACTTGGTGTGTCTCAATCCCGCACCATCTGCAATTCTATAGCTAAACAAACAAAGATTTCTATAAAATAATTAAGGTCTGAAATAGTTTAATATAGAAATTCTTATTGGAATAGATGCTAGAGTTCTAGAGTAGATAGAGTCTAAATCTAGATCTAGATCTAGGTCGTAGCTTCTAAATCTAGTCTAGTTTTGTGCGTAGATTATCTAGTCTAGATCTAGAATCTCTAGATCTAGAACTAGAGATCTAGAATTTAAATAGATAAAGTACATGTTATAAGTTTAGTTCGAGAAAATTGTATTGTATTGTATAGATCTAGATTTCATAGCGTACGTAGATCTATTATATTTGAATGAAATAGTTCATTTCTTTATTTTATTCTAAACTCTGAAGATGACGTCATTAGTTTCGTGCTCTTTCCCTAGTGAAAACCTTATGCGACGTTATTGTTAATTGCGTTCTTGTCCCAAGTATAAACACTTTTCCGGTTGCATAATTAAAATTGTTTTTCTACATTCGAATACGCCTTTATTTTTTCTTCTTTAAATAAAATTGTGGTTATACATTTAAAACATCTATCATATTATTTTCAACAAAATTCCGTATCAAGTTCTCATGTATCGCTGAAGATTCTGATGTGATATCCTGCGAAAATATTTTGCGGACAGAGAGAGAGAAGTTCGCACATGGGCTTTTATATATTAGGATGTAAGGGAACATACTTTTTTATCGCACTATTATACGTTATTATTCATGTTCATTCGGTGCGCAATAGTTTTAAATCATATAACTATTTATTTTAAAGTAATAAAAATGTTTCAATAACAAGCTTTTATGTAATAAAGTAATAATGCACTAAAAGGAGAAAAGATTTTCTTCAAATATAAGAAAACACTACTATTTAAATAACCATAAAGAAAAGCGTGGGTCTTTTCTCAAATATTAGTAATGGTATTCACCAGATAATAAGGTGACCCAAGTTTTTCTTTATAGAATTTAAATAGTAGTGTTTTATATATATTCAAAGACAGTTATTTATTTTCTCCTTTTAATGAATTATTACATAAATGCTCGTTATTAAAACGTTTTTTTGCATTTTTTTTCTACAAAGTACATGCAGATCTGGTGATTCTTTGCTAGTGTCTTTAAACTACCGACCTTAAATAACAAACTCAATTGCGCAAATTTTTGTGCGTTATTTTTGGGTGCGCATTTTTTTCGATACGTATTTTTTTGGTCATCGAGAAATACAGCCGTTAATTTAGTCGTCAATGTAATTGATAATCAGTATTGTTTTTCATCTCCACAGAAAATTGAGCAACATAAAGCAGAATGTACTTCGTAAAGAAAATGTTTTTAGACTCCAAACAAGTTCTCAGTGTAACTGTTCTTCAGTTCTTCATCCTCTACGTCATCAAAGACTCGTCCCTGGCCTCCAAGTCTCCAGAGGTACCACAGTCCCACGCCCGTCCAAATGTAGCTCCTTCAGGGACACTAGGAAGTGTATCACAACTTAATTCACTTTCACTTCAGAAACGTTCTGTTTATAATTTGGAAGATGTTAAAGACTTAGATTCAAATAAGAAGGAAGAGTTAGATTCGACGGAATGGAGCAAAGAGGAGTTAGAACCTAATATGGATAAGAAATGGAAAAGTATGGCGGTTTGGGGAAAACGAGATGCAGATTCAGAAGTCGAAAAGAAATGGAAGCAAATGGCAGTTTGGGGAAAACGAGATATGGACCCCGAATTGGAAAAGAAATGGAAGCAAATGTCCGTTTGGGGGAAAAGGGATATGGACCCCGAATTAGAAAAGAAATGGAAGCAAATGTCCGTTTGGGGGAAAAGGGATAGTGATTTAGACATGGAAAAAAAATGGAAACAAATGTCCGTTTGGGGTAAAAGAGATATGGACCCTGAAATGGAAAAGAAATGGAGGCAAATGGCAGTTTGGGGAAAAAGGGATATGGACCCCGAAATGGAAAAGAAATGGAAGCAAATGTCCGTTTGGGGAAAAAGAGATATGGACCCCGAATCGGAAAAGAAATGGAAGCAAATGTCCGTTTGGGGGAAAAGGGATATGGATCCTGAAATGGAAAAGAAATGGAAGCAAATGTCCGTTTGGGGGAAAAGGGATATGGACCCGGAAATGGAAAAGAAATGGAAGCAAATGTCCGTGTGGGGAAAAAGAGATATGGACCCCGAAATGGAAAAAAAATGGAAACAAATGTCCGTTTGGGGGAAAAGGGATATGGACCCGGAAATGGAAAAGAAATGGAAGCAAATGGCAGTTTGGGGTAAAAGAGAGGATATACCTGAAACCGAAAAGAAAACGGAAACTGGATCAGTGCGTGTAAAAAGAGAAAGTAGAGGCTCAGGAAACGGATGGAGAGCCTTGTCCGCTTGGGGTAAAAGGTCAACAGACTCTCAAATCGATAGGTCAACAGACTCTCAAATCGATAGGTCAACAGACTTAGACGTTGAAAAAAAGTGGAAAGAAATGTCCGTTTGGGGAAAACGTGAGAAAGAAGACCTCGAAAAGAGATGGAGGGAAATGGCCGTATGGGGAAAGAGGAGTAACCCACGCGCTTCTTCGAGAAACTGGCAGCATTTACTAAACATTTGGGAGAAGCGGCCAAGCTGGAGTACCGGCTTCAGCAGCTGGGGAAAGCGATCAGGAACAGACGACCAGTTCGATGTTAAGGACTACCTGCTTCAAACAAAGTTAAACACAGGTGCGTGGCAATACTTTCTCGAATCTTTGATGTAAGCTTTTGTCTAACGTTATTTCATTTCTAGAATTTGTCTCCACCTATTGTATCAATTTATTTATCCCCATTGTTTTCCGAGAATTTTTTTTAGTTTAATTAATAATAATGATTCTCTAGATTTTGGTCTTGACCATTTGTGTTTATCTAACCCTATTTAATCTCAAAAATGTGTATTGGCCATTTTTCTTTATCTAACGTTATCTCAAAAACGTGTCTTTACCACTTTTCTTGACGATTTGTCTTTAAGTAACCTTATTTTATCTCAAATATTTATCTTGACCATTTGCCTTTTTCTAACCCTATATTATCTCAAAATGTGTCTTGACCGTTTGCCTTTATCTAACCCTATATTATCTAAACAATTTTTCTTGACCATTTTCTTGACCATTTGTCTTTATCTAACCTTATTCTATCTCAAAATGTGTCTTGACCGTGTATCTTTATTTAATCCTATTGTATCTCAAAGTGTGTCTTGACCATTTGCCTTTATCTAACCCTATATTATCTCAAAATGTGTCTTGACCGTTTGTCTTTATCTAACATTATTTTATATCAAAGATTTGTCTTGACCATTATTTTGTATTTGCCTTACGTCAATCTCTTTACTAAAAAACACATTACAAATCAATTGGTTATAGACGTTTGTAGAATATTTGTAAAATATGCAATAAGAATATAATTAGAGAATATAAATGGATGTTTTGAAATGTAGGTAAAACTATTCTTGAAAGTTTATTCAAATAGGGTCCTAAATTACAAGGTTTAAAAAAAGGTAGCCTACTTGTATGCGGTTCCATTTGAGTAAAGCTTATAATAAAAAATAGAGATCAAAATGTTTTCACACAGGATTTAGGATTGGTTTTTACAGTGGAAAATAGTCGGATACTGAAGGGGCTGGTGGGGGGATGGGGTGAATGGGACCTCAGACAGTTGGCGTCGGTGAGGTGTTTAAGGTAGGTAGAGGATGGTAGAAGCTGTGAGGATTGTGCGATGGACGGATAAGTAGTTGTTTGTGCACTTTACTGCAGAAATACGTGTAATTTTATGGACGGAAATGTACTTTTGTATGTACTTTATTGAAGAAATACTTGAAATTTAATGGATCAATCAATTCTCAAAGAGTGAAGAGGATAAAGGCGGGAGATGGGGTATCGGTAATAGCGTTGTTAAAAAAGGTGGGGGGGGTGTTCTTTTTGTTTAGCTTTTCTTCCGAGAAATCGTTATCCAACTGATAACAAGGTTGTCTAGTGTATAAATAAAATTGATTGCTTACTTTTTACCATTTGCAACATTGCTTACTATTAAGTTGATACAAGTTTAGTCAATACAGTGATGCTTACTCTACATTTAAACAAGCAGAAAAATATGCAATAATTTTAAATTATTTAGATTGTTTCGTTGCTTAGTTTTTGGTGATGTTCTATCTTTGTCGCATTTTTAAAGTCAAGTACAAGCCTATTAGGACGCCGTAGTCTTGCGGTAAAAAGTAAAGGCGGCTGGGTATTGTGCTTACCACACTATCCCTTTATATGCCGAGGCCACATAAACTGGTGAACTCTACTTCACTTACTCCTTATTTGAAAAGGGAACTTTACTACTTTTTGCAAGACTAATTTGTTTTATTTCATCTTCTGAACAGAGCTCTAATCCACCTCTCGCTAATTTCAGCGTCAGTGCTATGTAATTCTCCTGCTAAACGACTGCCTTCATCTGTTAAACGTACATTAAAAACCTTCAATTAAAGTAATAGTTTCAATGTGGCTGCTTTAAATTTGTTTTAAAGACATCATTGATACTTTGGCTGTCACTTAATATGGTTGCCTATCCCAGATGTAATCAAAACATCTAACTCCGCACAAGTATTACTTTCCTCATAGAAATAGTTGTTATAATGGCATCTTGTTCTTTGGAAAAATACAGATTTTTTACAGGGGAGGTAATTCGTATAGAGTATAAGTGTAGCAAGGGAAGTAACCCGTGGGAATATCTCACGTTACCGTGATGATTAAATGAGTTTACATGTCACTCAATTAACGTCATCATCCACTATCGAGTTTCTTGATTTCTCAGGAACGTGTTAGATTGTCATAGTTTTTTTACACCTGAAATTTTGTCATAGGTTTTTGTAAAACCTGTAACATTGTCATAATAGACATGAAAAGCTGGTTCCAAATGGTTCAAAAATGTTGCCAGAAAGCAAATTTTTCAACCAAACTGAATTTGCTATAACATTTGTGTAATAAGGAAAAAATTACTTCCGGTTTCATTAAGGATAGAAATAGTCAAAGAAATAATTACTAGTAATATAACAGTAATTTAGCAAACACTTTTATTTTTAATTTGGATTAGTAAAGTCAGGGTGTTATGGTGATTGGGGATGTTATTTTATTTAATACAAATACAATACTACGCTGTACAGTGTATAGTATACACCATAAATCACTATTGTATATTTTTATCATGGAGACATTTTTTTCTGACTTTTATTGTTTTACTCTCCCCTGGCATTCCGGTTGACTTCAAGGAGAGGTTAATGGTAGTTTTTAAAAATATTTGAATTGATAAAAATAATTCTAAACGACTTTCAACATGAAAATGAGTGTAATTGATGGTTCCCAAACGGCTTTAATTTTTACAAATGTAACTATAATTTTATCGCTTGCCATAATTTTAAAAAGATTTTTTTTTAAATTTAGAATGATTACATAGACTTTTGCTACTACTGTCTTCTGCCACATAATGCATGAAGAAATTCATTTTACAAAAATGAGTGATATCAGCCGAAAAAAGGGTGAAAACGTAAAAAGCATTTCATATATATATATATATTTAGAGAGAAAGAGAAAGAGAGAGAGAGCGAGAGAGGGAGGGAGTTAATGATCCTATCGCTTAAGGGGCACCACTCTTGATCACTTAACAATAATATAGCTACAATAATAGATCAAATTATAAGTTTTTGATTTAAGCTTAGCTTGAAACCGGCCAGACAGACAATGTCATTGAAATCTATCTCGTTGAAGTGTAATCAAGTAACCAGTGTACAAGAATATTGCAGACTACAAATAACCCGTTCGTTCAGAAGCTACGACGCTTTAGAAAGAATGGAGGTGGTTTACTTGGACGTCCGCCGAATCTTTTAAACCTGGTCATCCGCCTTCACTCCCCTAGTGAAATATTCATTTGCTAGCAAATAGTTCTCAATTAAACAATACTATAATAGACGACGTGCCTAGCGGTAGAGAGCTAGACTGCTAACCGAAGTCTCGAGTTCGAATACGGAACGTCCCTGAGTCCACCCAGTTCTGACGGGTACCTAACTTAGGTTAGGGAATCAAAGGCGGCTAGACAAAGAAAACACTATTCCCTTCATATGCCGAGGTCAATTCTACTTTATCTGCCACAAGTGTAAAAGGCACGAACGTGATTAAGATGAATAAAATAGACGAGCCGATCCGCGGCTTATCATATACCGCTACTTAGTTGTTTTATTTTCTACTTTTCAGTAAAACATATTTTGTGAATTCGACAGTACCAATGCTGCCACTGAATATATTTGCTTTAAAACACTATCAGTAGCTCGTTAAGGACGACAACCCCCCCCCCCTGCTTTCCCCAACCCCAACCCCTACCCCACCCCTACCCCCGTGAAAGCAGCATCCTCTTAGTTACCTCCCCTAAGTTTAAAATAGTTTTAAACTAAATTATCTGCCCCTAATAGCCGTACCTAAAACCCGCCTCTACGATTGTAAACATTTAGCGTGAACCACAGCTAACCAGACCATGTAGGGGTGGGGGTGGTAGGGAGCGCGCTTACAGCTTGGTGTTTTCTATGGTCTCCAAGAAGAGCATTATATATGTAGATTTTTACAAATAAGATAAATGAGATATTATAATTGTTATACGAATTCTCACGGTTTTAAAAACATAACTTGTGCTACAAATTACTTGTCTTATACGACGGAGTGACAACTCCAAACACAATAAAGCAGACGCAATAGATTGTGTTTTAGTTGTCACAAATACTGCCAATGTGAAAATATAATTTTTTTTGTAAATGGTAATTTTATGTCCCTATTGACATTGCTTGATTCAATTTAACTCACAGACTGACTTCTATAGTATTTTAGCTACAAATTTAGACTGAAGTCTATAGTATCTGTAGCTACAAAATAGTAGCATGTGTAAATTAATTATGAAAAGAAAATGACAACCTTGTTCTGAGAGATATTTAGTAGTCTGGGTTGGTGGTTTTTATGCGTACAGGTCAGCGTGGTCTAATATTTCACTTCGGGACAGAGTAATTTCAAAATGATCGCCGGAATTACGGGTTGAGGTTGTAATATTAATATTTTTAGTAATGAACATGATGAGTGACGAATGAGTGTTGTGTTGAAATAAAATAAAACAGGAGAAATGGTTGTCAGACAGACAATGTGACTGACCGATTTCAGGTCAGTCTAGAGGTTAAGGTCATTTTAAAGGTTAGAGACCTGAATCAGTCTTGGTGCAACTGTTCTTGGAATATAATTTTACAAAGAGACAGATGTACTGAAATATCATGTCATATAGATTTTAATTATAGAGTTTATGAATACCTTATTCACAATTAGAGCTATCAGTGACGGAAAGTATTTTCCTCTTGTTTCTTTATTTTACATGACAGAGATTTAGTTTTTGCCAAGATTAATCTAAAATTTTTAACAGTTAAAGAAAGCAGATGACAAAAGAAGTGCGCGTAGTTCGTCGTGGTTCTTAGCAACACGATTTATCTTGTGGCTTTATTGGAAGAAAAAAGAGGCAATTAGACTTATTGGGTCAATGATCTTAATAAACGTCTTCTTCTTCAACTTTTTAAAAGCTTTTATTTAATTTGCTTCCTCTGTCTGTCTATCCGTCTGTCTGCATTGAAACTGGCGAGCGAAATTTTGATCTTTTTTAATCGACCAATTTCTCTAAAACTTGGC